TCCACTCCGGTATAACCATCTGCTGAAATAGGACACCCGGCCTCTTATTATCATACTTAACCTGTTGGCAATTTATGCATCTCGGTACATACTCAAATATGTCCTTCTTCATCGATCGCCACCAATAATGTTTCCTCAGGTCACGATACATCTTTGTAGCACTTGGATGAATAGAATACTGAGAACTGTGTGCCTCCTCTAGAATCTTCTACCTCAAGCCATCAACATTAGGAACACATAGGTGACCCTACAGTCACAGAACACCATCCTTACCAATAGTGACCTCCTTGGCACCACCCTGTAGTACCATTTCTCTAAGAACCAGCAAGTGCAGATCATCGTACTGACAAGGCTTGATCTACTCAAATAACGAAGACTAAGCCACAACACATGCAAAAACTCGACTAGGCTCTGAAATATCCAACCTCACATATCTGTTAGCCAAGGATTGAATGTCCAAAGCCAGTTGCCTCCCCTCTGGTGAAATGAATGCCAAACTACCCATACTCTCGGCCTTTTCTTCTCAAGGCATCTGCAACCCCATTCGCCTTGCCCGGATGATATAGGATAGTAATATCATAATCCTTCAGTAACTCAAGCCATATGCGCTGCCTCAAATTAAGATATCTTTCCTTAAACAAATGCTACAAGCTACGATGATCGGTGTAAACCTCGCAGGACACCCCATAAAGATAATGCCTCTAGATTTTGAGTGCATGAATTATCGTGCCCAAATCCAAATCATGCACGAGGTAATTTTTCTCGTGGGGCTTTAGCTGACGTGAAGCATATACAATAACTCACCCCTCCTACATTAATACACAACCCAGGCCAACTTGTGAATCGTCACAATGCACAGTATTCATCCCCGAACTAGAGGGCAACATAAACACTGGTGTTGTAGTCAATGCGGTCTTGAGCTTCTGAAAGATTGCCTCACAATCATCGGACCATTTGAACAGAGCACCTTTCTAGGTAAATCTAGTCTAACCTCAAAGAAGTAGGGACAAGAGGTCTACATCGACACTTACTAGAGGTCAATAATTAAAGTGTAGAAATCATAAGTAGGCATGAAATAAAACAATAATAGTGAGATAAGAAATTGTAACTTATAATTCTTAAACATAATATCAATTTAAAGTCTCCAACTATCACAGGCCAAGTATTTAACACATAAGAGCCACCATGTAATTTTCAAGTCTCAGATCAAGAAGAAATATCAATTATAATCGGGCTCCGAGCAATATCATGCACGAATTATGCCAAGGTCGTACGACCCGATCTAGAATAATATGCATACTACCGAGGGTCGACCATCACGAACCGTAGATGCATTTATTATACTGCCGAGGCGTTCAGCCCGATCTATAAGAATAAAGGAAACTCTACAAAATCTGATCAACGAGTACTGCATAGGAATAATACTCAAAGAAGGCATAATTTTCACTAACAGTCAAGTATTCCGCCAAAACTCAAAGTAATGAAGCTTAGTCATTTAAAATCCTATTATGAATCCAAGTAATTAAACTAACAAGTTGAGTGCAAATAACACAAGTAATGCATGGTAAAGCTCTAAGTCTACCCGGACATAAGCATAAATTTTAGCTACGTACGGACTCTCGTCACATCTCGCCTATATAGCACCCACAGTTATTAGCAAATAATTATTTAAAATACCTATGGGGATAATTTTCTCGTACAAGGTTAGGTGAGAGACTTATCTCATTTCCAAGCCCTTTGACCGTTCCATAATTCACACTAATAGGCCAAAATCGGTGTCGAACAATTCGAAACTAGCCAAAGGTTGTACAAACTAATCAATATATGCTCAAAAGTTTGTAATTTAACTATTAGAGTAATTGCCCAACCCAATTTGAATGATTCCTAAAATTCACTCCCGGGCCCATGTGCCCAGATTTTAGAAATTTTTATAAATAAATGTTACACATAAACTCACGAATACAAATATATAATTTCTACCCAAGTCCATAATCATTTTCGTGGTCTAATCCCATTTTTATCAAAACCTAGGTTTTTCAACAAAATCCTATAATTTTCATAATTTACGTGTTAAAATCTACCCATAATCCATGTATTATACTCACATTATGTAGTAATTACTTACCTTACAATGCTAGGTAAAACATCCCTATCCAAGAGCTCCAAAATCAGCTAACCCAAAGTGAAATGAGAGAACATGAACCTAAGTCCCGATTTAAAAAAAGATTCTTCCTAGTTGACCCTTCTTCGCAATCGCGAAAAGGGCCTCACGATCGCGAAGGCAAGCTACTCAACCCCCCCCCCCCCCCCCAGAAAATATACTTCGCGAATGCAAAGAAGTCCACATGATTGCGAAGGCTTGCCTAACTAAAGCTTCGTGAATACGGCCCCACCTTCGTGAATGCGAAGGGCAATAGGCCAACTGACACCCAGACCCAATTTCCTCTACGCGATTGCGAGCACAACTACGTGAACACGATGACCTGCGGCCCAGAGCATCATGATCACGAATGCATATCACAAAACCTCGCCCATCCTCATTCCTTTATCGCGAACGTGAGGGATTCTCCGCGTTCGCGAAGAAATAAACCAGAACCAGCAACCTAGTAGTTTTGGACTTAGTTCTGGAAGGTCCGAAACACACTCGAGCTACCAGGACCCCATCTAACAGCACCAACAAGTCCATAGACCTAATACGGACCTTCTCAAAACCTCAGAATGCATAAAACAATATAAAAATCAAGAATCGCATCCCACAACCAAATTGAATCAACTTATAAATTTCAAACTCTTGAACTAGCTCTAAACGTATCGAATCATACTTAGACTATTTGGAATGACACCAAATTTTGCGTACAAGTCATAAATCATTATATGGACCTATTCACAGGCTCAAAATCCCAAACGGACCTCAATAACACTAAAGTCTACTTTAAAATAAATTTAAAGAACTTAAAAACCTTCAATGTGCCAACTTTCAACATTAAGCGTTGAAACGCTGTCGGATCTCCCAAAAATCGATTCGAACACACGCCCAAGTAAAAAATAATCATATGAACCTATTGGAAGCATCTAATCTAGGTTCCGAGGCCATTTACTCAAAATATTATTACAAGTCAAACTTGGCCATCATAGGCCACTATTAAGGAACTAAGTGTTCCGATTCCAACCCGAACCCTTCCAAACCCAATCCAACTATCCCTGCAAGTCATAAAACAATAAAAGTATATACGGGGAGTCTTAATTAGAGGGACGTGGATCTAAAAAGAAAAATAACCGGCCGGGTCGTTACATCCATAGTGATGCGCTCTCACTTCCACTCTGGTATCTCCAATCTCTGAGTCAAGCCACCCGATTTCTGATGCTCGTACTTCACATGTTGACAATTCAAACATCGAGAGACATGACTGACTATATCTTTCTTCATCTTCCGCCACCAATAGTGTTATTTCAAGTCACGGTACATCTTCCTGACACTTGGGTGAATGAATAATGGGAACTATGAGCCTCCTTAAGGATCATCTCCCTAAACCCGTCAATATTTGGGACACAAATCCGTCCTTGAAGCCGCATAACCCCATCATCTCCAATCACAACATCCTTAGCACTATTCTCCTGCACCATGTCTTTCATCACCAAGAAGTGAGGATCATCAAACTGGCGAGCCTTGATATGCTCTAACAATGATTATTGTCCCACAACGCAAGCAAGAACATGCCCAGTCTCCGAAACATCCAACTTCACGAACTGATTCACCAAGGCCTGAACATCCATGGCTAGTGGCCTCTCCACTACCGGTAAATATGCCAAACTGCCCATGCTCTCAGCCTTCCTACTCAATGCATCGGCCACTACATTGGCCTTCCCTAGATGAATAATATGGTAATATTATAGTCTTTCAATAACTCTAACCATCTCCACTGGCGCAATTAAGGCCCTTCTGCTTGAACAAGTGCTGGAGACTCTGATGGTCGATATAGACCTCACATTGGACGATGTATAGATAGTGCCTCAAAATCTTCAGTGCGTGAATAATAGTTTTTGACGATAAATTTTGACCTTCTCCTTTTAAATTAATTTTTTTACACTTATTAATCAGCAATAAATGTAGTGGAGTATTATAAAATTAATAATACCTATTTTCTCAAAATATAAATGATATAATAAGTATAATAATGGTTAGTAAAATCAATTCAATAATCAATAGTAATTTAGTCTTAAATATTTATATATTATACTACTTCTAGTACATTAATTAATTAAACTAATCTTCATGATTTTATAAATAAGTATTATGATTCTTTTAATAATTTAGTCTTAAAATTTATAATTATATTACCTCCATTACTTTAGTTAACCAAACAATTAATTTTCATAATTTAATAGATGAGTGCTATAATTTTTATTATTTAAAACTAACTACTTGCAGTAACTAATAATACATTTGTTAATTATATTTTATTATATTTTATTATATTTATTAGGATTAATTAAGTCTAATTAATTTAATTTTAAAAGGGGTCAAAACGTAAAATGGGCTACAATTGCAAATGATTAGTTTAACTCAATTGGCCACGTTTTAAATATGTTTTTAGCCTGCTATCCAAAGAATCTGGCCCATAACATTTGCCGAATACCTACAACCTGGTTCGGCAGTACCATTCTTCATTCTATTTGGCTATCCATGTCACTCGCCCTCAACCAATCTCAAAATGCCACATCACACATCCCAAACAGTCACAGAAGAAACACAACGCATCTGGAATGTTGATCCAAATCATCAACGGTCCATAGTTAATTTCAATTTCTCCTTTATTTTTGAAATTCCCAGTATTTTATCTCAACGGTTGGATCCAAGTGATCCAACGGCTCCCATTTTGTCTGCATTAAATATTTTCCCCCTATTTTATCTCTAAAACTACGAATCCATTGACCGCAATGATCCAACGGCTCCCATTTGATCATGCATTTTAACTAGCCAAAGACGTCAAACCCTAATCATTATATCCTTGACCGGCCACCCTTTCTTCCCCTTCCTCTCTCTTTTCTCTCATCTCCATCAAACCCCATCGTACTGAAATATTTATGTTGTCTCTCTTCCAACCACGAATGCCACTGAGATTTCCTTTTTTGTCAATCAATTTGAATCCCAAACCCTAAAATCCTAGACCAAAGAAAAAAGAACTAATATAATCATTTCACCTTCTACTCGTTCAAATAACTACATGCAACTATAGATTCATGAGAATCTTGACTATATTATGATGATTCTTGATCCAGAGATCAAACACAGTGACCTCTGGACATCGGTTTTGACTGATGGTCTATTTGGCTCTAACAGCCAATTTTCTTCACCATTTCATACCAAGGTAAACTTCTTTCAGATTTTCCCCCTCTCTTCCCATCTTTCCTTTTTTTTTTTGCTCTTATCCGTAACTCAATCGTCATCTTTCACTATCCTTTCGAATTCAGATGAACCCTAATGCTCTAATGCTCTTACCTAACAAGATGAAATACCTTAAAAACCAAAGTAAATCTATCTGTTTATATACTTTGAATCTCTTCTCTAATTTTTTTTTCTTTTCTTTCACTTTTGCTAGAGTTTGACCACAGTGAGTTGATTGTGAGATTGAGTTCTTAAAAGGCTACAAATTATCCTTACTTGGTTTACTGCTCCGAAGAAGGTCAGTGCATCACGACCTCCCTTTTTTATCTTTCAACTAATTATGTAACTCTTTATTTGATGTTTTTCCTGTTAATCACCTTTTGTTCATGGTATACATCAGTAACATTGTGACTATTCTTGCTATGTTCTGCTTTTTGTGTTATGCTCAATTTTGAGTTAATAATATTTCCTGATAGTTATGTTATCTCTATGTTGTTGTTGAACTCTATTTCTCATGACTTAGCTAGTAGAAATGATTTTACACTATTGTAGTCCTTATAAGCAATCATGTTGAGCTTTCATGAACTAAATTCTATGTTAATAATTATATGTGTGTTCCATCCTTGTTAGTTGAATAATAGCCATATATATATTATCATGTTGACTGAACTATGTTCTTGAACTTCTCCTGATGTCCTGTTAAGATTTTATACTTGATGCCATAAGCTATCTTGATCTTTATGCCTATGAAATTGTATTGTATTGTTTTAGCTCAATGAATGATGTTCAGCACTGCTCATATTCTCATGTTGATCTGTTTGCCAGAATGGGTTAGTTGGCAGTCTTGTTCATGATGCTATGTTGTACTAAATATTTAAGATAGAATGATTCATGTGAGTCTATCGTGATAATAAAATAAATGGAATCATGTGATAAACTTGTTGGCAGACTTATCGCTGAACCTGCCTATTTATTGTATTCTGCTTGTCTTACCTAGATCAGCCATAAAATGGGTGTCTTTACTTGCTATCTCATGACTATCCGATAGCATTGTTTGGATAATCCTCACTTATAAATATGAATATGGTTTGGTTATGGTCATCTGAAGGTCTGATGGATTGTACTTTGACATGATTAGATATCATGCCTATTAGGATTAAATAAAGACTTAAATTAGGCTTCTTACTCATGTTAGTGTCCCTGTTAATCTAGTTGATTGGTATGCCCTTTGGAAACTCTGAGTAATGCTACTAGCATAATTATTCAATATATGGAAGTCTTAGCTATATGCCTACTTGCTTGGAAAGCTATGCTGAAACTGTTATGATGTTTGAGACTTGTTCTAGTGGCCTAAACCCACTTAAGGAAGTTCTGAAGTATTGAACCTTTAGTGGAATTAATAGAACAAGTGCACATGCCCATCTTTGTCACTTACCGATGCTTTAGACTACTCAATAAGACATCCTGAACTTGTAGTTGTAAGAAATGGAACCTATCTACTGGCAGCATATAATCAGTTTTCTTTGCTTTCATACTTCTGCTTGGTTGTATCCTAGTAGTGATACTCATAAGTGTTCTGTACATGTTGTGATACTTAGAATCAACATCAGGGCCTTTTATCACCATCAAAACTTTAATGATCCACTTGTAGTGACATGTTCTTATATTTTGTGTTCTATTGAGAATGTTTCAAGGTCAATATTGTTAAGTCCTTAGCTGCATATGGTTTGGCACTCTAATGATGGCCGTAATTCTTAAAATGGTTGTTTGTTTTCAAATTGGTGTTTCTGTGTGGATGAACCTTTGAAAGGTTTTATGATGAACCTTTTGTACTTGCCCCTTTCATGTTCTAGGTTGGTTGAGCTGTTGAGTTAACATTAGCTTGTGCTCAAACTTTTGAGGAAGATTAATGGTCAATGTTCCAAAGTATTTGGGTGTGAGCCTGGCTTTGTGTTTGAGGCAGCCCTCTCTGACACAAGCACTGCTCGAGGTCCATGAGACCTGTATGAACTCTGAAGTGTCAGGGGTCCATAGGGGGACTTCATAAATAAACATGGTTCACCCTAAGCCCTTAATCATTGATCTTAACAATCTTCAAAGGTTTAAAACAAATGAAAATTAACTTTATCGTGCTCTTTAGATATTTATTATTTATTATAATTTTATATTACTTCATCTTTATGTTGACGTATACTATTTATTTTCACTTTCTTTTATGCATGATCGATTGGGCCTACTGAGTTCATTTGGAAACTCAGGCCCGAGTTCAAGAAATTGGGTCCCTTCCTTGCTACCTATTGAGTCCGCTGCTGATTTGAATTCTGCTGGGCCTGGCTACTTGCCAACCCGATATCAAGAGTCCAGCCTTCTTTTCTTTTACTTAAAATTATTGCTGTTATTATTTGTTGTTTCTATGTATATATCTTTGAAGAACGAACCTTATTATTGGATATTCTTTTGGCATCTTGATTATTTAGAAAAATTAGGTAAAACAAGACTTATAGATAAAAGGTATCTTTGATCATAAGGTTCACCTGTTTCAACTACTTTGAAGTTTTGAACCTCAATATTTTAAGACTAATCATTTAATAAACAAACAACTTTTCTCTATTTATATTTTGCCACTAATGAGTTTTCAGTGATCTTAGGCTTTCGCAGATCCAAAGGATGAAAATAAATCCTCTTTGAAAAATCTTCAAATGGATCACGTAGAAGACACGAACTGTTTCAAAAATAAAAGGTAATCATATACAGTGGGTTTGCAAAGAATAATACCAATGCTTTTGAAAACGCAAGGCCTTCTACTAGAGCAGTTTTTTTCTAAAACAAACAAGGTATATATGCTTTCAATAAATAGCGTATTTTGAAGCAATCTCTCATTCTACAATTTATAAAGACTCACAAATAAGTATTACCCCTCTAAAGGAGATACACAACCTTTTCTCAAAGATGAGTTTTCAAACAATATTCAAAACTTTCACAGAGCCTCATTGAACAACTTCAACCAAAATCAACTACGATATAGATACTTCTTTCCCCGAACCTAGCCTAAGTTTCAGGATATACCTCAGGTAGATTTTAAGAGATGTCTAATACCTTCTCCTTAGAATAACTAAAACCCTTACACCAATTTCACTGGTTAGCAGACCACTAGGATAATATTTTTACAAACTTATAGGTACCCTAGTATACCTTAAATATTAGGTGGCGACTATTTTTATCAAATTCAGAAGACCTACTAGTTGTATTTTATTTTGACTTAAGCAAATTAGGATGCAACAACATGGCGACTCCGCTGGGGATGTATACTTTGGTTCTGACCTTAGCAGACTTAGGCTAGACTTGAATTTGGGGATGTTTGTTTATATTCTACTTTAATTGTGTATTTAACCTGCAAATATGTGTTTACTCATTTTATCTTACTTGCTTACACTTTACATGACTTTATAACCTGCTAATATGTGTTTATCTGTTTATTCTTAATATTATCACTATGTCTCCTCAATAACGTATTACTACCTTATACATTGTCATCACATTTTTCCTATCGAGTCTTGGTTGTACACAATCACACACAATGTAACGCGAGGGTTGTCTTTTTACCCCTCTGAACCTTCTTTTCAAAACTTTCTAGTTTCAAAGAATGACCTTGTCAGGACAACTGACATATCGTCTCGCAGTTATTCAGTCCAACTCTAAATTTAAGAAACACTCTATTCTTAGGAATCACAAGTCATACTGCATAAACCTTAGGTGGTTCGGTCCTTGGTATTGACTCATAATTAGGAAAGCCATCATAATGTCAATGGGTCATACACCTAACGACATGTCTTCCATGGAACAACAAATCAATCCAGATAAGACACCAAGGATTTGGAGCAAAATACTTACTAAACCATTCACCCTTTTAGATGGAAATCAACCGCAATGACCTGGAAATTAGCATGGTCATGGGAGCACCTCACAAGCTGTAATGATCCGACCAGTTATTTTGTATATTTGGGACCTGTTTCCCCTTTTGATGCATCACACATGTGTAACGTATTCTTTATGACTTGCGGGATTGATTGATTTCATTCCAGGAAGACTTCAGGATAATTTAGACCATTTGATCCTTGGCTTAGAAGCCTAAGTTATTTATGAGAATATTTGACTTTTGTGAAAAAGATATCGGATTGGTATTTTGATGGCTTCGATAGCTTTGTATTGTAAATTAGAACTTGGACGTATGCCCGGAATCGAATTTGGAAGTCCGTAGGTTGATTTGTGTTGTTTTGTCAAAAATTAGTAATTTGGGATTTAAAAGTTTGACCGTAGGTTGACTTTTGGCTATCGGGCTTGGAATTGGATTTTGGGACTTGAATAGGTCCACTATGCTATTTTTAACTTGTCTGCAAAATTTGGTGTCATTTGGAGTTGATTTGATAGGATTCGGACGCTTAGTTGTAATTCTAGAGGTTGTTGAACTTTACTTTGAAATTTATGCGTTTTGGTATCCGATTCGTAGTTATAGATGTTATTTTTATGTTTTGATCATGCTAGCGAGTTTGTATGATATTTTAAGACTTATGTGGATGTTTGGTTTGGAGCCCCGAGGGCTCGGATGAGTTTCAGACGTGTTTCAGAGTGTTTTGAACTTATCACAGAAAATCTGGTGTGCTGGTGCTCTGATGTCGCAATTGCTCTGATATCATAATTGTTTTATCTTGCATTGTTTAATGATATTAAATCAATTTTGGTTAGATATGAGCCGCGTGAGGTGAAATTCAGGGGAAAATCTATTTCCCAGGGTTCAGTTGGCCTAGTTGAGATAAGTATCTTGCCTAACTTTGTGGGGGGGGGGGGGGGGGGGGACTTCCCCTTAGGAATTGGTTTGTTTGTGCTAATTTTGTTATGTGAAAGCCGTGTATGTAAGATGACGAGTGGGTACACGGGCTATATTTGGTGTTTGACTGATTTAGGCTATTTAGACTCTTACATGCCTTACTTGACGTTGTTAAAACATGTTTCACCTCTTACTTGCTAATTTGCTCTTATATGCCTTAGTTGAAGTTATTTCATTCCTTATTGTTTGTTACATCTTTAATTTGTTGAATTGTTTGTAATTGAAGTTGTTATTTAGTGAAATATCTTATTGTTGAGTTATTGGTGTTGAAGTTGAGAAAGTCGTTATCACATTGAGGTAAAGTTGTTAATTGTTGAGATATGCTTTTTGTTTAGCAACTCACTTTCATTTTGTGATTGTTGAGATTCTTGTGCATATTGTGGTTGAGCCATAGGCCGTTTGTTGTGGAAACATTTGTATTGTTAATTTTTTTGGCAAGTTGTGGCATATGGGCACTTGTGGTGCGAGTTGTGATTATGTTGTGATATTGATACGCATGCGGTGGTATAAGGCTAGGGGTTGATATGCATGAGGTGAGATAAGGTGGGCTTGATACGCGCGTTGCTAGTAGGGGAACTACTTGAAGCCACGTTGTGTGTTAAGGTGGGCTAAAATGCGGGTATCTATTTCGGAAAACATGATTTTGAAAATTAAATATAAGGCTCCCGCGGTGATATAAGGAAATATTGTAATTTAAATTGTGAAAAGTGAATACGAGATGGTACCTCGGGTGTGATTCTTATTGTGCATTCCATATTGAAACGAGTTATTGGTTGAACAGTTCTTGTTGCTTTATTTCTTCCTTGTCTTACCAATTTTGTTCTATTTGATTATTTGAGATTCTCCTTGGTTGCTTCCTTATTGTTGTCTTTCTGCCTACGATTCTGTAATTAGTTAACGTTATTATACTGCCTTATTGTCATTTATTTCCTCGCTTTCCATTACTTCTCGTTATTATATTTTTTTCTATTTATTATGTCCTAGTAGGTGTCTTGACCTGGCCTCGTCACTACTCTACCGAGGTTAGGATTGATACTTATTGGGTACCGTTGTGGTGTATTCATACTACACTTCTACACATCTTTTTGTGCAGATCTAGGTACGTCTTCACGTGCTGTCTTCAGGAGACTTCAAGGTATACTGCTCAGCGTCCGCAGGCTTCGGAGTCACCTTCCATTATATTTCCATTTTTTTGTTCTCTTATTTGGATACTGTTGTAATAGACATTCTAGATTATCCTATAGATCTTATAACTTAGTTCCACTGGTTTTTGGAAATATGTTGTTGAGATCCTATTTTGGAGGTTTATATGAGTTTAACTATTTTACTTTAGTATCTCTATTTCATCATTTCTGTTAAATTCTTATTAAATGTTAGGCTTACCTAGTCTTAAAGACTAGGTGCCATCACGACATCCTAAGGAGGGAAATAGGGGTCGTAACACAAGCTAAAACAATGGAGGAGGAATATCCGATGAGAGCACGGAGATAAAATCAAGATACATATAGGAGCATTGACTGCACTAATGAACATTCGAGTTGATAGGGTACTCACCAGGTTATTGATAGAGTTCTAGGGCCCGGCCAAGGCGGTTTTCAAGTTTGTTGACTACAAGCTGATGCCGACCATTGAGGAAGTCACCAGCTTCACTGAGTTTCCATTTCCTAGACGGAAGCCTAATGTCACGACCCAGCCTATGGCTGCGATGGATAATCGACACTAAGTACCGATCATCACTAAACTTGATGATAATTTACTAATTATAAATATAATCGGATAAACTGAACAAGTATAGGCATATCTGATAAGAACTGTACAATCTGGAAAGGTGACAAGGCTTACACAAGCTGACATATACAAACATACTAACTACATAGATGCATATCTGCAGTCCTCTAGGAGTGGTGAATTGAAAAAGTACTGGACGGAACACGGCCCCGTCATACCCAAACTAGCTGACTGTACACATACCAAAAAATAAGTAACTGCAGGATTAAGCGGAGTGACTCCAATAGCTGGTGGATGTCCTACTGATGTGGCTCAAACACTGATCTAACTGTACCCGCGTGACATGAAATGCAGCGCCCTGAAAGGGAGTGAGTACGATATGTAAAAGGTATGTAGGGTGGAAAGCATATGTAAAACATACTAAAGTATGACTGTAAGATGGTAATCTGAATATAAGTTGAAAGCTAAACAAGAGTCTGAACTAGCAACTGATCTAGAACTGAACCGAAGTTTAAGGTGAAATTGTGCTGAAACTGAACAACTATCTGAACTGGTACATGTCTGGTGTTATGGGCTATACCTCCCAAATCAGGTAACTGTAAAATTGAACTAGCCTCGTGTATAGTCATGCAGTGTAAACTGTAGTTATATACGTGTACATAATATGTTTGACTGGTGTTATGGGCTATATCCCCCCAGCAGATAAATATATAATCAACAGGCCCAGCTGGTGTTATGGGCTATATCCCCCCAGCAGATAAATATATAATCAACAGGCCCAGCTGGTGTTATGGGCTATCTCCCCCAGCATATAATCAATAGGCCTCGCTGGTGTTATGGGCAATTTCCCCCATCATATAATCAATAGGCCTCACTGGTATTTTGGGCTATATCCCCCAGCATAATCAATGTAAGCATGTATGAGGTATAACACATGCGGCAATATCATATGGACTCAAGAGATCATGAAGGAAACCATAAACGAAATCACAAACGTAATCTGACGCTTGTCGTCCATAAGTTGGGGGGAAGAGCCTATCCGCATTTTAGGGAGAAACTGAATATGTACATGAAATTCTAAAGTTAATTAACTCATTAGGATCCCTATATAATCAATTTTTAAATAAGGAACTCAAGATTTGTCCAACTCTTCGAATTTCAAAACAATTTGGCAGAGTTTCCCCTAAAACTTGATGATCCCCCAAAATTAATAGCAAGCACCACAATATACAATGGGAATGGATACCTGGCCAATATGATAACATCAAACTAATAGAGATCTAGTTATACACAATAGTGTCAAACGATCGACAACACGAAATTGTGAATGTAATGTTGACTCATAGTGGCAACTTGTGACATGAAAGTCTAAATATACTTTAAGAATAATATAAGCATAAACACATGATAATTAAGCTAATTAAATCTTAAATTAATCTATTTGGATCATATGTGGGTTAGGTATACATAAAAACATCAAAGGAACGGAACAAACGGAAGTTCGGATGGCATAGGCCAAATTGGCGATTTTCCTTTTTGTTTTTATTGTGTTTTGAAGTTCCAACCTACACTATTGTCTTCCATAATTCACATATGAAATTGAAAAATATAAAATTGTACAATACATGCTGTTATTTTCCTTGAAAAGTCCTTAAAAGATCAAGAAGAAAGGCTAGAACATAGCTAAACTAAATCATGCCGAAAATGAAACGAAAACCCTACATACCTCCCGTGTTCTTACTTCCAAACATCGTTCCCTTTGATCCACACCCTTAATTATTATTGTATAACTAAAATACAGAGGTGACAAGCTTCCTTAGCCACAAAGATCTTTCCAAAACATGAGTTATAAGGAGAAAAGAGGACGACAAAGTCTTACCTATGTGGTAAGGATCGCATTGATGTGTTCGCGTCTTGATTTTGAGTTGCAGATGGAGGAATTGCTTCAAAACCCTAAGGATCTATTTAGGATATATAGAGAGATTTTTTAGGTACGATTTGGGTTTAAATGAGCCTTAGAGACGAAGGCTACAACATTGTATATCAAGATAATCCTCAACTGACCTTGTGGGTCCCAAAGGGAGCTGCTTACGTAGTCTCACGAAAATGCAAATATCTCTCCACTCTAATATTGTATAGATGAACAGTTTAATGAATTAAAAACTAGACTCGTCGATCTTCCGTTTGATGGGTGGATCACACCGTAATTCCAAGTACATTGAGATAAAAGCTCAGTAACATTAGACCTATCAATAGGCCTCGCTGGTGTTATGGGCTATCTCCCCCATCATATAATTCAATAGGCCTCACTGGTATTATGGGATATATCCCCCAGTATAATCAATGTAAGCATGTATGAGGTATAACATATATGGCAACATCATATGGACTCAAGAGATCATGAAGGAAACCATAAACGGAACCACAAACGTAATCTGACGCTTGTCGTCCATAAGTTGGATGGAAGAGCCTATCCCCATTTTAGGGATAAAATGAGTATGTACATGAGATACTAAGGTTAATTAACTCATTAGGATCCCTTTATAATCAATTTAGAACCAAGTAGCTCAAGATTTGTCCAACTCTTCGAATTTTTGATAATATCGGCAGAGTTTCCTCTAAAGCTGGATGATCCTCAAAAAAAACAGCAAGCACCACAATATACAACGGGATGGATACCCAGCCAAGATAATAACATAAAACTAAAGGAGATCCAGTTATCCACAATAGTGTCAAACGATCGACAAAACGGAATTGTAAATATAATGTCAACTCATAGTGGCTAACTTGTAACATGAAAGTCTAAATATGATTTAGGAATAATCTAAACTTAACACATGATAATTAAGCTTATTTTATATTAAATTAATCTTTAGAATCATATGGGGGTTAGTTATACATAAAAATATCAAAGGAACGGAACAAACGGAAGTCGGAATGGCATAGGCCAAATTGGCGATTTTCCCTTTTGTTTTTGTTGTGTTTTGAAGTTCCAACCAAAACTATTTTCTTCCTTTATTCACATATGGAATTGAATAATATACAAGGATACAATACATTCTGATATTTCCCTTGAACAACTCCTAAAAGATCAAGAAGAAAGGCTAGAACATAGCTAAACCAAATCATGCCAAAAACGAAATGAAAACCCTACATACCTCGTGTGTTCTTGCTTCCAAACCTCGTTCAGTTTGATCGACACCCTTAACTATTCTTGTATAACTAAAATAAAGAGTTTAAAAGCTTCCTTAGCCACGAATATCTTTCCAAAACATGAGTTATAAGGAGAAAGGAGGACGACAAAGTCTTACCTATGTTGTAAGGATCGCGTTGATGTGTTCGGGTCTTGATTTTGAGTTGCTGATGGTGGAATTGCTTCAAAACACTAAGGATGTATTTAGGATGTCTAGAGAGACTTTTTAGGTCTGATTTGGGTCGAAATGAGCTTTAGATACGAAGGCTGCAACTTTATATATCAAGATAATCCTCAACTGACCTTGTGGGTCCCAAAGGACGCTTCTTGCGCAGTCTCGCAAAAATGCAAATATCTCTCCACTCTGATGTCGTATTGATGAATGGTTTAATGAAGTGAAAACTATACTCATAGATCTTCCATTTAATGGATGGATCACACCATAAATCCAATTACATTGAGTGAAAAGCTCAGTAACATTACACCTAAGTTTTAATAAAGTTATGAACGTAACTTGTGACAACTTTTGTCGACTTTTGTTTCATAACTCATTTGACTTCAAAACTTAAAACCCGACTATAATATGAATAAAATACCTCATAACATCACCTCCTTATCATGTTAAGTACCCTAGTATAACCCCAAAAGTATGGGTTATAACATTCCCAACTTGTCGACTTTCGCCGAAACTTATTTTCTTCGATTTGTTTAGCTTCTAAACCTTCCAATCCTTTTGGTGTTTGCAGTTCATGATCTTAAATATTTGTTACCTCCAAGGTAACATGATTAACTTACTTTATATACTTTCAAACATGATCTATTTTCCAAGCATATATCAACTGAATTACGACTTACTTTTACGTACAAAAAATATGGGGTGTAACATCATTCCCCCCTTTTGAACATTCGTCCTAATGTTGACTGATGTGCTTATCAGGCTTAAAACCTACAACTCTTACAAATACTTTTATACTGTCCTTTACATCTAGGCAATTGTTCTGCGAATAAATCCAAAGGCTATGGCACTCCTCCCTTTTAAGACTCTTTCTCACACCACAACCTTGGGTCGAAATTCTTTCATTCTCGTAATTGTTCCTACCTTCTATCATGCAACATGTACGATTATGTCCTTGTACGTTCACATATGCGACTCTTTTCTCCTCTTTTCTCTCACTTTGTGAAAATATACAGAACTCTAGGCGACTATAAGTGTACTGAAGTTCTTCGCTTGGTACTTTGTCAAACTTATGACTATTGGCACATTTTGTTTCATAGCCTTGGTTATCTTTACTGCATCTAGGTAGGTCATATTATACCATAACAATTACTTCGATTTATTATTATAAAGGTCTTCTACCCAACTCCAAGTTACTCTGTCGCAGCTTATATTTATCCTATATGTATAAATCTAAGT